GCAATTCTGGATTTACCGACTAGAGCCACAACGACTAGCCTAAAAACAGCATGCTATGCGAATGAGCCAAAGCCATAATTGATATGAAAGAAATTATTGTTTTTAAGACGTTTTATTTTAATTTCCACCACACTAACCCCACGACGACAAACCTCATGCAGCCACAATTTTAAAGGGTGAAAAGACTCCATGCAGATTTTCTTCATTAAAGCGGTTTTCAGCAGGACGATCCACAACCGGAGCTCTGTTTCTCTCCCTCCTCTCACCCTCACGCGCAGCATATAACCTGATATTGTTTGGAGGCTCGTGTCACTTGTTTTCATAACTTTTCATAATAATTAGCCATTCGATGGTTCGCATTTATCCCAAAACTAACCTCGATTATTTTAAATATCCAACATATAATTTCTCTCTCTCTGCAGTGTTCCCTTTGATTCACGCTTGACTCATATGGCTTCAGGGCCAATGGGGGTCCGCCTTTGGGGTGCCTTGAAACCGACTCTTCTTATCCCCTTTCATCATCTAACCAGGGACGCCTTGAAACCGCAGGGCCAGTTATTGCCTCTTTTTTTTTCAGTCAGCCCAATGCGGACTGGCCAACAGCCAATCAGAGTCTTGTTTACACTTTGTGACTGACAATGCTGTGGCACAGCGCCAGCCAATCAGAAGCGTACATACAGGGAGGGATTCATTTGTAAACATTTAGCATAATGTAATAACCAAGTCCATAGTAATAACATGATGGAAATATTACAATTACAGTCTTGTCTGCATGATTCAGTGTAGAGTTTCAAGAAAGTGGCTTTAAAAGCACTCGTCAAAACGCCTCTAGTGGTTTGATAGCAGGAGAAATTAGACTGTAAATGTCATAAATGCCTTAAATTGTTAGCAAAAGTGTTTTTCAAAAAGGTGTTTTCAGATGAAAGACAAACATACATCTTAAACAGAGCTAGTTCAGTTTTATATTGCAAAAAGTCAGCTGTACTTCATTTCAATTAAGTTGTATTTAGATTTGGTCAGCTTTAAAATCAGTGTGGTATTTAAACATTAATGATTAGATATTTGTTTTAATATATTTTGTAGTTTTATTATTCAGCATCATAAATAGTTGAGGACTATTAAGCAACAAGTCACAGTAAAGGAAGGGATGTAAACATTCAAAACAATTTTAAATGTGGTATCAATCTTTTTGATCTGTCAAAGCATTCATTTGGGTCTTTTTCAAAGCACTAAGCAAATGTACGTAAAAGTGCACCTTTAAAAGATATATTTTTTTGTTTGTCAGTATGTTTGGGTCTAATTAGGCTATTTATATTACTATGACCTTTTGTGATGTGTTCAGGGTTCTAGGCTAGAGCTTTCTAAATGTAATAAAGGTAAGGTAATTTAGCCTAATTGTTCGGTTCTAATATATTTTTTGCATTATCCATTATATGTAAGTTTGGGGTTTTCTTGAAAGCATGCATGAATAGAATTGCACATTCTGATTGAATGTATTTACTTTTTCATTAGGGGCTGTAGACTTTTTTTATTATCTACATTTTAAGCTGTTCCCAGGCTGCTCTGAGTTGTGAATGATTCAGACCATCCCATGCTTTAAATCTGGCGCTTTTCTCTCTGTTTAGCATTGCCAGTCATCACACTATTGGCCTGTGCTACCGGCCAATCAGAACCTTCTGTATCTCCGGGCGGGCGGCACGAGCTAATTAACATGCAGGTATCCGACCAATGGGAGGGCGTGTTTACCCTGCCCCGAGACGCGAGGTACGCAGTTGCACCGGGAGAGAAACCGCTGCTCGGAGATCCGAGCCGCGATCCAGCCAGGCCGGAAGCCCTAGTTCCACAGCTTCCATAGACTGAACCAGCAGGCTACAGCACAGCCTCAGATGGAAATATTGTAGGATTTCACTCTAGCCACATGGTTTATTCAGATTTTGATTTTAAATGGGCGTCGCACTTGGCCTTACTCCTTTCCACCCTGTGTTTTGTGATTTTATAATTTATTGTTATGCAAGGATTTAACATACCAGTAAGTAGTCATTTTTATATTCAATTTTTGTATTGAATACAATTTATTAAGGCCTGTTTCCTCGTTTAAAGACGACAGAGGTTGTAATTTAGTCCAACACGCTATGACATGCATTTTATTTTACCAGGTCCAGTGCTATAATTTACAAAATAACACAACAGGATGTATGAGGTGTATCCTATGATAAATAAATCGATCATTTAATGTATTGAGCTGACACAAAATACATCCCCCTGAATAGTTTCTATTATAACATATTATAGCCTTGTTTTATTAATATTAGGTGGTCCACATATAATAGGAGCATTTCTAACAATTTAAATGGTCTCAATATATGTTGGCATTGGAAGCATGTTCGTAAATATTAAAAAAATCGGACTATTGATTGGATTTATTTGCATGTTGTTTTATTTTTGAATTATGCTATTACAATGGTGCAAGGCTGTCTTTTTTTATCAATAGGCGAGTTCGAGCATTTACAAATTGTTTAAAAATAATGTAGATATTTTTGTGAACCGGTCAGTGGGGGACTGACTATTGTTTTATTTATATTGCAATAAACTATAAGCGTGTAACTTGCATTTGTTAAGCGGAAGACGTGTTTCTACCCGACCCGGCAGAGGTGCACTCCCTGCCGGCCAGCTCAGTCACGGAGGGCCGCCTGCCTCTCAGCGCGAGCCCGAACTATACAGCGTAATTTGATTTATTATCTGCGCTTCTGCTTTCGATTGGGTTCTGTAAATGCAATTGACAGCTGCTTAATGAATTACATTAGGGGCGTCGATCATTTGAACGGTTAAAACAAATTAAAGCGTATATGTGTGAGGATATTTGCACAGTGGAGGCTGGGAGAAACCTCCGTTTGTTTTTACGCTGCCGATGTTTAATTCATATGATTGTAGGCTACCCTTCGAACATTTACAAAACAGCGGTCTCTTCACAGCCTGGTAAATGTTAAATATTTTTTTCGTGAGGATGTTAGTGGACATACAGAGGGGGCTGAATTCAACAGCATGGCGAGGGGGAAGGTAATGGCTGACTGAAAAGCACTGTCTCAGTGTGGAAACAAAGACAGTCCTGCTGACGGGCGGCCATTCACCTTGGATCTCTACACAGTCCTCAAAGTGAAGACTCAGCCTTCATGCAGGCAACAGCAAGGCTTCTTAAAAGTGTTCACGTTAAAGGACCTACATGCATGCAGCACATTAGCTCAGGAAGCCTCAGTGGAGGAGATTTGGTCCCGGGCAGCTCCGTATGGAAGGATTTTATTGTTGTTGATGTGGCACTGAATTGGAGGCTCGGCTGTAACTGGCTACATGTGGAGATAATAGTGCTTAAAGTAAAATAGCATGTATTTAAACAAATATGCCATTCTTACACACTTTAGCCTATATCTATTTGTTATAATTAATTATAGCCTTATAGTAAAACCACTAATTTATTTTTATTTTTTAACACCCCCTGCAACCAATTCGAAACCCTGTAGGGACCCCAAATTGAGATAATAAAAATGTAAAACCACACATAATAGTAGCTATAGCTGTAGTCTACTGTATTGAGAATAACTGCATTTTCTTTCAAACGTATACTCATTTGGACCTAGATACAATGGCCTTCTGTTTGCCTGCTTTGTTTGTAATTACTCACAGGAAGAAAAACGATGATTTCTGTTAGGATTAACATATATTTTAACAGTGAAATTGCTTTTAATTTTTGCAAATTAGGTTTTTTTGTCGACTAGCCATTATAATGTATACTACTCCATTTGATTACCTGACCTGAAATAGGTCAAAGCAGATGAAGACAGTGAGAGTGCAGTTATTCACATGCACACACACACACTCGCGCACGCACGCACACACGTACACAAACACACACACGCTGTGCACACACGCACACACACGCACAGAGTGGGCCCATGTCTTTCAAGAGTTGATGCATCTCTGTTATGGAGAGCTATATTAATTATAGTCTTATTTGAATATCATGACTTGCTTTACGGATGGTTTATAAACTCTATTTAACCAAAAATAACAGGTTCGTTTTGCAAATTGTTGGATGCATTATTCATTTTTTCAATTGAATGTTTTATTATAAATAAACAATTTTGTAGATAGTGCAACATATTGTTTATTTAGGTTATCTTTGGGTGCTTATACGATCACTGTAGTGCAGAATGTGAACATGTGGTGTGTAATGAGAGCTGGATGGAAGTTATGGAAGCAGAAAAACGCCCGTATCAAACCGAGACAATAGGACGAGCAGGAGAAGGCAGGCAACGTTGTTCACCTTGAGATGTAGGCTGAGAAGGCTTCAATCATTTTAACCAGCCCACACTGGACACCACTCTTTCTCCTTTTACAATATGAGGCGTTTTTATATTTGTTACAGCATACACGATTTCATTTAAAAACAAAATGCACGTTTGTTTTTTCATGGTTTTTAGAGAGAGTGACAGCTGGCAGCTGCTGACGTGGTTGTTGAATCAATTGTTATGATACAATATAATATGAACCTTACTGAATACAATGGGTTATATGGAAACCTTAAATGTGATAATCTGCTCGTTGTGCCTGTGTCTGTGGGATATGAAGGGCTCGTCCCATATGATGCATATTAGGCCTGTATCCCAGGCTGATCAATAGAGCTGAATGAAAGCCCGGCTCAGTGGGCTTGTGGACGCCTCGCCTGCCGTTTCTATCTGCGGTGATATTTTGCACCATCGGTTTTAGGTCGAAAGGGTTGATTTCAGTTTTACGCATAATACAGGAGACGCCTTGATATGACATATTGTATACTGGGCTACAATTCATTTTAATGGAGCGGTACTAAGAATTAGTTGTCTTTTACATTTTTACTGCACTGTCAGTAGCTATGTCTGCATATTGCAATTCCTAACAGGGCTTACCATTTCTCTTGATAATGAAACTGGATTTCTTTGACAGAAAAGATGATCGGGGGCTACGTTTTTGGCTGGGGAAGCCTGCGATCGACTGAATGCAACACATAGATCTGAAGGAAAGGATTATTATATGGGTTGCATTTGATTTTCCTGACCTGCCCTATCCGGATTTCGGATTACTCAACATTCTTCGGAATGGAAGGACGAGATTTTGCTGCTCCGGCTCACCTCCTATCAGAGCGGGGCGCCCTGGTGCACCGAGCCGCCTCTCGGATCGCTCCCTCGGGCCACGGCTCTGTACAGCACGGCGGTCACTTCACGCCGGGGAAATATTACCCCTCGCACATACCAATGGCTCCCCACTCAGGTTAGTAAGAGGTTTTTATTGTCATACAAGAATGCAACCGAAATATCTGTTTCTATCAACATGCTATCTTAAAGCTGGCTCTTGTTTAAAATGCTCTTATTATGTTGCACTATAAACCCTGTACATGTATCAGCGTTTAGTGATATGCTATGCCTGTATGTGTGGTGAAGTAGCCTACAAAGCAGGTGATGTTTTGCTCAAAAGAGAATACTTCTACGGTGTTTTCCATTTTATATAAATGATTGCTCAGGTGTGGCTGTTGACAGAGTTTCCCTATTCAAATATCAGCTAATAAATCAGGCGAAATTTGATTTACACAAGGCCTACGATCAGAAATTTCGATTAAGCTGAATCAATATTTACAGCTCAAATACCTCAAAAGTAATAAAGACATCTTTGTTGAACAAATAGCCGTTTAATAAGTTATGTAAATGCCATTGTATTTAAAAGTTGCATTTGACATCCGTTTTAGTTTGCAGGAAGTTGGACAGATCACACTGGCACTGGTTTCCCACTGGCTTTGGGGCTGAATCTGAAATGAGATTTTGTCACTTCACGTTAAATTGACAAGTGTCACACCATTGCCATCGCTCAACCAAAAATAAATAAATAAATGAGCCCTGGGCCATACCCAGAGCCATGGAGCTGGGTGATCAGGTCTGCATAGGTTACAGTATGATGAGGAAGAGGAGCAGTACTGAAATCCTCCTTCCATATTGGGCTTCAAAGTGTCAGAGTGCAAATGTGTTCACAGTGCATGCATCAGGTTTAACAAGTAACTTGGGTATCTTATGTACCCAAATGTGCACTTTAACAAACATGGGTTCACATTTTGTCGCCAGATAGAACAGTCTGAATATATAACTCAGCCTTAAGACTGCTGAACAGATTAACAGCTGTTATATTTTAAAATATGGGTGTGGACATATACACATAATAACTTTAAAAGCAAAAACGTAATGGTTATAATCATGCTTAATGATCATTGTTTGTATTAATATAATGTGCTAAGATATCTGGTGTTAGATTTTATTAAATCAAATATAATCCCTTATTTCGTGTTTAGAAAGAAACAAAAAAAAAGAGAGTTTAAATGAAGCACTTATATGACTGGATCAGAATACACTGTCTTGCTTTTATTATTCCCCACCCATGTAACACAAAACATATTTAAATATGTCACAACAGTGGCATACTGGTTGCATCAAACAGTTATGCTTCTGAAACTTGCTTTGAAAATATTGTTGACGGTTCTTCAAAAAAACACATGTTTATCATGCAGCCGCTGAGAAATCTAGGGTCACAAGGAAGCAGGGAATCTTTAGCGTTTGAAAGTTATTTTATGTAACATATATCAGCCAAAATTACAAGTGGGCCCAGTGTAGGTGGTTGTTGTAGGTGGTTGAATACAGCACGAAAGTAACATTTACCAATGTTTTTGTATTCTACATTAGATTTTATTTGTTTATATAGCCTATATATTTTAAATATGTTATCAAATGGTTATTCTATAAGAAGTATTATGGCAGGTTAATTCAAGATGTAATTGAAATTCATTTGATTGTGAAGGATTCATTTGCTAAATTATGCAAAAAATCTGTTTTATTTTGTCATTCAGCAGAATTCATGGGCAATGTTCACCATTCATCACACACCATTCATGTTTACTTTGGCAGCACACACACACACACACACACACCCAGATTGCCTGCGTCTGTATGTGTTCCTCTCTTATGGATGTTTTGTTGAGAGCATGAAGGGTAATGCTGGCTACAGGGTACAGGTGCTCCCCAACCAGATTTGCAGTTTCTTTTGTATTATTGTGCCGCACCAACACGAAGGCCTACCCTCCAAATGTCATCACTGTTCAATGAGCAGCACAGGTGGTTTATTGTTCTCCCCAGCCTCGTCAGTAACACATGGGCGTGACCGTAGAGAAGTCTATCTAATATCCTCAAGATCTAAAAATGACTTAATTTCCTACATTTAAGGATTTATTTTATTGAATTAACACAGAGAATAATTTGAGTTCCCATAATATCTAAATCCCCTCCAGGCGCTCCAGAATTATTTTGATATTTGGTCCTGCTGATGTGCTACATCTGATTTATTGTCTTAATATTATTTGAAAATGTCAAGCATGTCATAACGCAAATAGGTAGCTGAGACATGAAGCATTTTTCACAAATATTCATTACGTATTTTTTCAAGATGGCAATTCATCAAAACCATGAAAGACGGAAAAAAAAATCACGAAAGACAAAAACATGTTTCTCTATTATGTCCATAAAGTTTAATACACAATGTATACTTGTTATTTTATTTAACAGTAATGACTAATTACATCTGTCTTATTTCATTTAGCTTACCCAAATGAACACAGGTCAGTTACACCATGTAAGACCAGTCAAATGCTCGTCGGTTTTCGGACCAAACTGCTCCCAGATTGTTGTTCATATTGACAGGGCCGGTCATTAGCGTCCCTTCAAGTGTCCCGTATGCTAGCAACATTAGCACAACTGAGTGTGTTGGATCTCTTCAGTTTTCTCTGCACTTTCCCCCTGGGGACTAACTTGCACACTGGTTCACATGAATACTTTACAAAGAGCATGAATATTTCAGGGTTGATGTAAAAATGCATTCAGAGGCAGGTTTCTGATGTGGCTCCTTGAAAAGGCTCATCTGACTTTGCAGAGGTATTTATTGTGAGCGCTCTCTTCACCCTCGCTTCGAAAAAAAAAGAAAAAAGGATGGTGGTTGCAACACCCTCCCTCAACATTGTTCCTTGCCGTGTTACAGAATCTTCAACATATTTCGGGGAGGAAATCTCCTTTCTTTTTGTTGCGCACACTTTTTGGTTGCAATCAGGCAACAACAGACACACGCTCCTACCCTGTTGTTCACTGGAGCATGTTAGCTTAGAACCGGTAGAGATTCTGTCAGTGTGCATTTGCCTGTGTCCATCTTCACCTACTACAAGCCAGTCATTTGTAATGCATGTCAGGTGGTCGATTTATGTTTGCACTAGGTTCTGGGAATGTGACATTGAAGCAACTTCTCTTTGTGTGCTTGCTGATACAGAGAGAGAGACCTGTAAACTCATCTAATGCTGATTCATTCAGCCAGTTCATTTACAAGGACTTTGAAATAGTAATTTTATCTCCTGCTGGCTCCGGTACAGAGTTGGAGACAGTCTTTACTTGGCTGTGAGGCCTGGATTCAGATGTTGGATAGTGTCAAAGCAGGAGAAACAGTGAAGCTGTCTTTACCGCTGGCATTTATGGCTGCGAGCTCATCTTTCAGCCATATTGTTCTGATCAGTGTGCTCTGGCTGAGGTGTGGCTGTGTGAAAGCAGCAGGGGTTCAGAGGCGGTCCATGGCTGAGCTCAGCTCTAAACACCCCATGTAATGAAAGGTCATATTTGTGTCATCTAGCTCGCTCTGCCTCCCCTTCCTTTACTTGTCCCCTGTCTCCTTTTCCGTAAAGCTGTCCTCTCTCTCCTCCCCCCCATTTCTCAGTCTCCTTTCTTTCAAGCAGGAAGACCCTTGTGTCTGGGAAGCGGTGGTCTTCCTGCCACCTCTGTTTTAGCCACCCTCCCCTGCCCCGGGCCATTGTTGCAGACCCCAGCTTTGTGTGCGTTTTACGGCTGCTGTTAAAGATAAAAAACAGTCCCTTCCACCCCCTTTATTGTTTTCTGGTAGGATGTCCCTGTCATTCCCTTGGTTTTTATGTCCTGGATATCAGAGAAGCTTCCCCCTTCAAAGGTTAGCTATGCTGTCTGCCTTCTCCTTGTTTTTTTCTCCAAAGGGGAATAAATAACTTTACTGAGACTTTTATTGAATGCCTCATTGCTGGAGTATCCCATGGCTCTGTGGTTGTTGAGAAGACGCTTCAAAGGCAAACACAGGTGTGGAGTGAGCAAAGGGATGGTTACAACCCGGGTCTTTAAAAGAATAAACCTCAGTAGTGAATGAGTTGTTTGTGAGAAGGGAGGCTTCTTCTTTTTGGCCTTGAAGCTCTTGTGAGCACTCACAGATTGTACCCTGCTTCCCCTGGCTTTACTTACCCCACCATCCTTGCTGACCCCAGACAAAAGTGTTGGATGGAGTGTGTTGTACAGCACACAGTCTCCCTGAAAGTCAATACTTTCCTTTCTCTATATATTTAACAATTAGGAATTGTAAAGAAAGAATTTAGATAGATATGGAGCATGCCATTTAAGCCAACAAGACATAGACAATTTGCACAAAAAAAAAAATACAATACTATAATTGAAAATAGCTTGAATAATAATACAATTTGAGCGTGCATGTGTGCGGTTTACATTAAAGGGGTTTAATGTATGAAATTCAAGAGTTGAACCAGATTGCAAAGAAAACTGATATGCTGAATACCCCATGTTAAATATTACATTAAAAGGCCATTTGTATCAGAGAGCCACTGTGGTGGCAGTACAGTGACAGAATGTGGGTCTCAGGCCAATTCCATTTGACTCTGGCCTTGTGCACTCCCTCTGTCTTTCTCTCCGGCTCTGCAAAACATAGTGAGAACCTTGGCCTGTTGTCAGGCTCGTTTGTGGATTGTTGTGAGATGACACGGTTCAGCCACGATGTCACAGGAGTCCCCCTGAATAGTGAAGGTGTTGCTTGGCATCCTACACCTGGCTGAAATAGCAACTTGCCCAGTGCCGCCGCCATCTGTCACCTTCCACTGACACTACCACTGGAAGCCCAAATGACTTGCAAGGCAGTCAATTGCTTTGAAAGGGTAAATCCCTTGCATATTTTTCAAATACCTTTGGTAGATTGCGGTCACCAATTTTTCCTGGGCATCTGTAACAAACTCGGCCATTTCTTATCACTATTTAGATCATTATACCAGGTGCCAAATATCTATTAGTAAAACAAATAAGTAATAGCACGTGTAAATCATTAAACTCAGGTAACAGACAGATTTGACATCAGAACTGTTTCAAAATGGCCTAGGTTGAGAGGCGAGG